GCTGTGAGCCCTGTTAGAGTACAGTGCCGTGAGCCATGCTAGTGTACAGGGCTGTGAGCCCTGTTAGGGTACAGTGCCCTGAGCCATGCTAGTGTATGGGGCTGTGAGCCCTGTTAGGGTACTCAGGAAAACCTAAAGCTGATGAAGAGGCCATGAGATGATACTCAGAGGACCTACACCAACCACTAACCAGTCATCACCCTTAGGTAAGTCACTTGACATTTCGGATCTATTTCAACATTTAAAAATGAAGAGAATTGTTACGTAAGAGGGTGACCTTTCATGAGTAATCAGTGAGTGGTAGCCCCTTTTCTACACTGTGAGTGAGATTCACAAGAAGGTCAAGGTGAGATGAAAACTAGGCACCCAGGTGTCTGCGATCACTCGAGAGCATAGGATACCCTCCCATGCCCAGCCCACCAAGAACATCTAAGTACAGCATCTAAGAGCCTTTTTGGAGTTGAGCAGAAGCAGCCAAGGCCTGTAACTGTGTTAGCAACCTCGTACTTGCTCCCACAGCACATGCTGTGAATACCACGATGACAAAATCTTACCTATGAAAACAGAACTTGGCAAGTTCAAAACTAGCTCAGTGTCAGGATCATACCGAGAAGCATGTCAGTTCCTGCTAGAAAGGCGTCCCCACGCCCAGCTGAGCAAATGCCTGCAGCACAGCGGCAGGAACGGCCCACACGCTGCACAACAGGGATCTTAACTGGTGTGGCACAAACATTTTTAAACTACATTATTTCCGAAAGAAGTTCAAAGCACAGTAAGTACATTTTTTTTCTTTTTTTTCTTAACATAATTTATGTGTGCCACAGAAGTTTAACTATAGGTTCAAGTGTGTCATGAGATAAAAACGGCTGAAAAACACTAGAGAGAAACCTTCACCCCCTCAGGAATGAACATAAGGCGGCCAGAGACATACTCAGAGCATACCCCCCAAAATGAAGCCTTTACAGAAGCTTACCTCCCCTTCATCAGTAAATGTTATTTTCTTATTCACTTTGAAATTTCTCTTCATTACTTTCTTTGCTTCTGCAACTTTGGTCACTTTTTTCTTGACACTGGATTTAGAAGGTTCATTCTTCTGTGTGAGAACATAGAAAACATACAGATGATTAGAAAACTGATGCTTTATATTAATCATTTGACTCTGAAAATACACTTTCTAAACTGAGTGCACACTGTTCAGAAATAACTCTGTCCTTATTAACCAATGACCGCCCCCCCAAAGCTGAAGGATTTTAGTGTAAATGAGAGATACTTAGACATAACCTTTGTATTTTCTTTTTTTTTTTTTTTTTTTTTTGAGACAGAGCCTCAAGCTGTCCCCCTGGGCAGAGTGCCGTGGCATTACAGCTCACAGCAACCTCCAACTCCTGGGCTCAAGCGAGTCTCCTGCCTCCGCCTCCCAAGTAGCTGGGACCACAGGCGCCCGCCACAAGGCCCGGCTATTTTTTGGTTGCAGCCGTCATTGTTGTTTGGCGGGTCCAGGCTGGGGATTCGAACCTGCCACCTTAGGTGTATGTGGCTGGCGCCTTAGCCGGTTGAGCTATAGGCGCCGAGCCAACCTTTGTATTTTCTTCCATTACTAGAACTGTCCTATCTGATGATCCTGAAGCACCAGACATTACATGGTAAAGTCATAAATAAACATAAATAAATAAGGCAATCTTTAAGCTAAAATGTAATACTTATTATAACATTCCCAGTTATAAATTTAAATTTTTAGGCTAGGAAAATGTGTACTTGGAAAACAGAATGACCGTATACGTTGTTTGTAAGTCAACATTCTTCCCCTAGTAATTTACTACATGAACGCTAAATTAAGCTGTGTCTAAAGGCACGATCGAGTAATGGCACCTAATAGGATATGCCAAACCAGACATCACTAATGGCCTAAAATCAGTATGTCGAGATAGTAACAACTCAAAGCAACTGCTTCCTTAGGCTAAGTGAAAGCTGAGTGAACCACCCGAGATGAGACACGGAAGAAAGGTTACTGCATAAAGTGAAAAGTAACTCATGTTTGAGAGGAGTTGGCTTTTTCTCCTCGAATCAAAGCCAGAAGTACCACTGGTGGTGCTTAGTTAACTAATCAAATGCAGCTCCTTTAGAATCAGAAGGGTTAGGGTTAGTACAAAATGGATTTGGTCTCAAGCTCCACCACTTATGACCTGTGGGCAGGGAAGTTACCTGCTGAGTTTAGTTGTAAATTGAAGATAACCATAGCATGTATCTAGGGCTCTTGGGAACATAATGTAAAACACACAAAATGTTCAATAAATCTCAATTTCATGCTACATAAAAGATCACATCAATTGCAGAAGCTTCATTTGCAAAATACCAGATAGTTTGCTTTCTAGTTGATCTTTAACTCTGGAACCACCTTAGGAAAAGACAAGAGAGACTGTTCTACAGTCTGTAGAAACAATTATCAGAAACTTCAGGAAGATGTACATTGGTTACAATTGTACATGATGGCAATAATTTCACACAAAGAGAATAATTCACTTAATAAATACTGCTAATAGTGATAAACATAAATGCTTAAAACAACCTAAAATGAAAAACAAACTCAGAGGTTTGTGTCAAGTTATCAATATTTTAGATAATGGTCACAGTTATAAAAATTGACTAGTGCATGCATAATATTTAAGCACAAGGAAGTTAGTTTTGTACAGACAGTTCTGCTGTGTGGATACTGTTAACAAACACTGCTTTTGTATTTCTAGGTAGACTTATTTCTTTCTCAGCCCACAATCAATTCATCTTCAATAAGCTACTAGCACCTTTAATCCAAACAAAGCTTATGAAAAGATTCATCCTTTCTGAGGTAACTTTTATTCTATCAGAGAGAGACATTAATGTGTACAATCACTACGCCCACCCTCAGGAGACTTCTGTGAAAGGAGATGAAGTCTGCCTCAGAGTTCTTCTTCCCATCACACTCTCCACCTCTACCTCCGAAGGCCCCAGTCACTCCACCAACTCTACTAGTTGGCAGCATCATCTAAGATAAGGAGATTTCCTGATCTCCCTTCACAGAGTAACGGAGTAAGTTACGTGGTGATAAAACTCCTAAATTGAAGAGGTATAACAGGGTGGCAGGAAGCTGGTTAAATAAGCTGAGAGATGGAGGACTCCTTGAGTACAGGGGATTCATAAGACCCCCCCAGTTCCTCCAGCCCAGCCAGTCTTCCTGCACCTCCTTTACCTCCACAAAGGCTTATCAGAGAACACTAACTGAACCGCGAGGGCTCCAACTTCCTAACTGACTCCTACTGTATGCAGGTAGGCTTGGTTTGATGGTTGGGGCAACTCTTAAGAATCATGGTTTGACTGATCTTCACTCATCAGATCTCACCTAACAATCATAAAGAATGCCAACCAAACACTGCAACCTGAAGCATTCATTACCCCTTAAATGTAACTAAACAGGAAGAAGTTAGATTTAAACCAGTGAACAAAGTACCAGGGGAAACTACAGGAGCAAATTTTCTGGGGTGATGCCAATGGTCTGTATCATAAGACTTTGATTATATAGGTGTTTATTTTTTGTCAAAACTCAAATTTAACAGTTAAGATTTGTTCATTGTATGTAAGTCCTACCTCCAAAGAAGTCCTATGAACAAATACTGACACATAATTAATGCCACTTGAGCTGCAGTATATGGGGGAAGGGCTGATGCTGGCAATGTACTCTGAAAAGCACTAGGAGGAGAGATGGTAAAGGAGACAGGCTAAAAAGTTTAATTATAAAATACTGGGGTTGGGTGTTTCAGTGTCGAAAAGTATACTTTTTATAACTTTTCTGCAAATTTGAAAATCTTCATAATCATCCAACAGTCCAGTCTCAAGAACAGGAGGAAAAAGAGCAATGATACCAAAAATTGTTCAAAAGAGAATAAAAGTCAATTACCAAAAAAAAAAAAAAAAAAAAAAAAATTCTGCAGAGCAGATTCCTGCGGTGAAGTGGGTCTGCCTCAAGAACTTTAGGAAATCCATGAAGCCACTAAAATTATGTGACAAATTTGGATGTACTTCTATCTTTCCCCTTTTTACGGTTTATTTTGGTTTCTAAAAGGTATCTGTGATGTCCCCTCCCCACAAAAAGTTAAAATGTGTATTTGTTTGAAGGAAGCCAGGGAAAGAAGGAAGGAAAATTTCCGCACAGGTGAGAGGAGGCTTGTTTATCTCATTTCCCCCAATAAGCTGTAGCTTCATTCTGCTCTCCCAGCACGATTGACTCATTCAATTATGCCCTGGGGTCAACAACATATGTGGGGACCCAGCAGTGCAAAGGGAGGTGTGCTCCCCACACTCGTAGAGACCATCTGATTTAACACAGCTTTCGTGATTTAATCAGAAGTGTAATAAGTGCTTGGAAAAGACACACAGAACGATGACTATCTGTTGCACAGTGCCTGCCCTGTGTCATCAGGGTGAGGAGTGGGGAGCAGGTCAAGGAACTTCCTTTGGAGAGGGGTGTTTGAACTGAAGGGTGCGCGCTACAGCCTCGAGGTGTCACCGGCACAGGCCTGATATGCAAACACCTTGCGGTCTACTGGCAGTGTAGTGAACATACAGCCTGTCAGAGTCTTAGTTCAATGTTCAATATTAACTTCAGCAGGTAACAATATGCACAAATATTCTGCAAAGAATTTATACTCCCACCAAAAAACAAAGAGGAACTGATTATTCACAACTACTTCAAAATGCATTAGACTTTCTGCCTGACAATCAATGAAGTGAAAAAAGTAACATCTCAGGAGTTTTGAGTGACAGCTGGATTATTATGAATGGCATTACATCTTTGCAAGGCACTGCTTTTCTGTGCACTGTCTGTGTTATTTGCCAGTATTTCTAATGAGTTCTTGACATTTTATTTATCAAGCTGTGGAATCTCTTCATTTGTTAAAGATGCTTCAATCTTTTTCCTGCATCTCCTCATTTATGTTTATTTAGACTTATGCCATGAGTTAATCTTTTATTATTTTGCTTTGTTTTGTTTTTTCCCAAGCAGAGACTTTTAATGTTTGTGTATTCCATTTTATCATTTATAAAGATGTTTTCTAGGCTTGTGCTGTACTTCTATAGTTTGCCAATTAGAAGAATCTCTAACAACAAATTTAACTTTCTAAATGCTGATTTTACTTTTTTGGAATTTTCAACACTGGCTCTTGGACAAGAAAGTGCTCATTAAAGCTTTTTCTATTTCTATTCATTCAGACACAAAACATACAGAGTGTACGTACAATTAATTTCTATTTGCACCTCTAATACAGCATGCAGCACTTTAAACTAAAAAGCTAAAAATAAGTCATAAAATACAAAATTGATAAAGCATCAAGTCATCTTTGACGTCCTGTAACAGGTAAAGGAAGTTACCACCAATAACTCAGAAAGTGAACTACCACCAATCGCAAAAACAATAATGATTCAGTGAGTAGAGCGCCAGCCCCATGTACTGAAGGTGGAGGGTTCAAACCCAGCCCCGGCCAAACCACAACAAAAAATAGCCAGGCGTTGTGGCAGGTGCCTGTAGTCCCAGCTACTTGGAAGGCTGAGGCAGGAGAATCGCCTAAGCCCAGGAGTTGGAGGTTGCTGTGAGCTGTGACTCCACAGCACTCTCTACCAAGGACAATAAAGTGAGACTCTGTCTCTAAAAAATAAATGCTGGCCACATGAAGATTCAAAATATAACCAACAAAAAAAATTAAACACTACTGCTAGACATCCTAGATGGGAAGATTAAAATATTATAAAGTTGGCTCGGCGCCTATAGCTCGACTGGCTGAGGTGCCAGCCACGTACACCTAAGGTGGCGGGTTCGAATCCCCAGCCCGGACCCGCCAAACAACAATGACGGCTGCAACCAAAAAATGGCCGGGCGTTGTGGTAGGCGCCTGTGGTCCCAGCTACTTGGGAGGCGGAGGCAGGAGACTCGCTTGAGCCCAGGAGTTGGAGGTTGCTGTGAGCGTGATGCCATGGCACTCTACCCAGGGGGACAGCTTGAGGCTCTGTCTCAAAAAAAAATAAAAAATAAAAAATAAAGTTAATCATATTTATTGTTATTACTTCAGA